AGGGATTATTTAGAACGCGGACACATGGAAGAAGTAACCAACCCTTATGCGCCTGCTCGCACGTGTTATATACCGCATCATTGTGTAGTTAAACCCCAAAACTTGTCCACTAAGCTTAGGGTAGTTTTTAATGCGTCCGCTCATTTTCCTAATCAGAAATCACTAAATGATACGCTTTATGTAGGACCCAAATTGCAGCAAGATATTGTGAAACTGCTAATCAACTTTCGCATGTTTCCGTGGGCCATTTGCGCCGATATTCAGCAAATGTATAGGATGATACTAATTGATCCTGTCCACTGTGACTATCAAAGAATTATTTGGAGGTTCTCTACCAACTCCCCTGTAAAAGATTATCGTTTAACACGAGTCACGTATGGTGTTAGTAGTGCTCCGTACTTAGCCTTACGCGTGTTACGCCAACTTGTTATGGACGAAGGGGTTAAATACCCCCTCGCCTCCCACGCTATTTTAGAATGTTGTTACGTTGATGACTTCGTTATTTCTTGCCCCACTTTCTTAGAGGCCCAAAACACAGTAAACGAATTAATCTCCTTATTGCAACGAGGCGGATTTAAGTTGCACAAGTGGTCAAGCGATGACCAGGCGCTGTTGGCGTCCTGTTCCTCACCAGAATCCTCGAGCCAACCCCTCGATTTTGGATCTAATCCGCCTAATGATACCGTTAAAGTGTTAGGACTCCAGTGGGATCCGCTGCGCGATTGGTTTTTCTTCCAAGTCAATCCCGTGAATGGCCGTGCTTGCACCAAACGCATTCTTTTAGCAGAGCTTGCCCGCATTTATGACCCGTTAGGCTTTATAGCGCCAATCACCTTTTTTTGTAAATGTTTAATTCAAACCTTATGGATGTCGGGATTGAGTTGGGACACTACCCCCGATGAACGCACGGTTAACGCGTGGTCAAGGTATCAACGGGAGTTGCCGTTGCTCTCTAGCTTTCAAATCCCTCGCCTATTTTCGTTCTTTACTTCCTCATACTCTGATCATCAATTGCACGGCTTCTGTGATGCCAGCGTAAGGGGTTACAGCTGTGTCGTTTATTTGCGATCTATCGACCAACAGTTAAACGTTCGGACCGTATTGGTCAGCGCTAAGTCAAAGGTTGCTCCAATTAAAAAACTTACCATTCCGAGATTGGAATTAAGTGGCGCAGTGCTTTTGACCAAAATGTTAGTGTACCTTAAACCCCTGTTCTCGGGTAAGTATGGCTGTCCTCAGGTTTATGCGTGGTGTGATTCTCAAATTGTTCTTCATTGGATAAAGGCCTCGCCTCATCGCTGGAAGACCTTTGTAGCTCATAGGGTAGCTTTTATTCAAGAACACATTTCGCCAGAGGCTTGGAGATATATTGAGACGACGTCAAATCCCGCCGACATTGCTTCTAGGGGGGCATTTCCCTCTGAACTCATTGCTCAGTCTACTTGGTTAACGGGACCGAAGTTTCTATGTCATTCCGAAGACCAATGGCCTACGGTGGGTTTGCTCTCTCAAACTAGTTTGCCTGAAGATGTAGAGGAAAAGAGGACTGCATTTCTAGTTATACCCGCAGAGTCTGATCTAATATGCAGCCTTTTAACCAAAGCTTCCTCGCTTACGTTACTTCAAAATGTGCTATGTTACATTCAACGCTTTGCTAATAATTGTAGAAATTCCGCTGCAAAACGTCATGGTCCACTTCTGGCCAGTGAACGTCAATCCGCATTAAGCCTCTTAGTCAGAGCTACACAACAATCCAATTTCAAAGAGGAACTTGAACACCAAAGGTTCTCAAAACCGTTGAGAAAGCTCCATGCGTTTCTTGACCATGAGAATATTCTTCGAGTAGGAGGTCGTTTGAAACACGCCACCATTTCATTTTCGGCTAAGCATCCGATGTTGTTGCCTTGTAAAAGTCCTTTGACTACTTTGGTAATTCGTCATGTGCACGAAAAGTATTTTCACGCCAGTTTCAAAAGCACGCACTTTATATTGTCCCAACAGTTTTGGGTTTTGGCTGCTAAGCGTGCTATTAATTCCGTCTTTTCCAAATGTATACGATGTTGGAAGGGATCGCCCTCTTCCTTTCAACCCCCGATGGGTAACTTGCCGCTTTCAAGGGTGTCACAGGTGAAACCATTCCTACGGTCTATGGTCGATTTTGCAGGCCCTTTCAATGTCACGATGTCGCGTCATCGAGGTGTGCGAGCCTGTAAAGCGTATTTGTGTATTTTTGTTTGTTGCGCTACCAAAGCCATTCACTTAGAATTGTGTAGTGATCTTACCACTGATATCTTTGTAGCTGCCTTACAACGATTTGTATCTCGGAGAGGCAGAGTTGTACAGATGTTTAGCGACTGTGGAAGTAATTTTATGGGTGCTCAACGTGAATTAATCAAATATATGGAGCTTGCCGCTGCCAATGAAACTATAACGTGGTCACCGAGTCCTGCAAGTGCTCCTCATTTTAATGGGTTAGTCGAAGCCGGGGTTAAAAGTGTAAAAACGCATCTTGCTCGAGTTGTCGGAGCTCAAATTCTTACATACGAAGAATTGTATACTATTTTAACTCTAATTGAGTCTCTCTTAAATTCCCGCCCGCTTACACCGCTATCCAATGACATTGATGATATAAACGCACTAACACCAGGACACTTCCTGACGTTAGAACCTCTAGTTCCGGTACCTGTTCCGGATTATGAAACCATTTCTATCCAGCGCCTGTCTCGGTGGCAGCTGTTGCAACGTATTCATCAAGACTTCTGGCGCAGATGGCATAAAGAGTATTTGCACACGTTGCAGCAACGTTGTAAGTGGTTGAAATCTACCACTTCACCAAAAATTGGTACGCTGGTGCTTATAAAAGTGGACAATTTGCCACCTTCTCAATGGTGTTTGGGCCGCATAACGGCTCTACACCCCGGCGATGATAAGGTTACCCGCGTGGCAACCGTAAAAACGAGTAATGGCGAACTGAAACGACCACTGGTCAAGCTGTGTCCATTACCTCTTGACTGATTTTTTTTTTTTGTTATTATTGATTTTTTTTTATGTATTGTCTATGAGAATGACGCTTTGGGTTTGAAGTTTTTTTTTTTTTTGCGAAGTGGTAATTTGCGAATTAATTTTAATTTTTTTTTTCCCCTCTGTTCCCTCGGTTTTTCCGTTACTTAATAACAAGCATACATAGTTCCTTTTGGGGGGGGGCAGAAATGTTACAGAACTATAACAAATTTTACGTTAATATTTAAATTTTATTTTGCGCGCTCTATGACACCTTATCTTCCGATACGATATACGAGCCAAGGTTTACTTGCTTTTAATGTTGTTTATGAGTGTCAATCACGGGGACAACATCACCAATATTACCACCGCCGCGGCGCTATCGATATACCTGCACCAGCCCTACATATAATAAGGTAAGGTGTCTCTTTATTTTTTATTACTTAATTACTTTGAAGTCAGCCTAAAGACTTTATTTTGGGCTTGGTTCTTTAACAGTTGCTACTCGCACTATTCGTCCACGTAAACGCGTTTGTAAGGGTAACTACTTCCACAACCACCACTAACTGTATTTTTTTAAGCAAAACGCGTACAATGTTATTCAAGAACGTGTTGAAGTCGAATATTACGATCCTACCTTTTTGAACGTTTCCTGCACTAACTACAAGTATAACCGAACAACGGCAACGTTTATCTTCACGATGACGTATAAGATTGATATAACTGAAGGAGATATCGTAAGTACTGACCTACCCTTCGCGCTGTACAGAATAATTTTTAGTTTACGATAACGGGATACAAATGGTTGAGTAACCGATATCGCCTGGACATCCTGCAATTCAATGTGACAGTGAAAGAAGGTCTTCGCTTCAAGTACTTTGATATAGATCGCCTGATGCATTCCTGTATGAAACCTCCCGCCGACTGGCCGCTCATTAAGGACGTAAGTTTTAATTACACATGCCCACTATTCTTGTAACAGTCGATGTAGGTCACATATACGCTAAGGAATTTTGTGCCTGACGGTACTAAGTTCCCTCCGGGCATGCCAGAGGGAAGGTGGAAACTAAGGGTGCAGCTTATTACGGCATACGGGAAACACTTATTCTCTACCAACTGGTTTGGGCACATAAAATACAAGCTCAGAATGGAATCGAAAAGGCGTTAACCACATAACATGCGTTGTAACTATTGCCGACACTTTAGATACAAGTAGGACAGATAATTGTGGTATTTTAATGTTAGCAGTACTTAGATACAAAGTTTTATTATTCTCATTTCATTTTTGAAGGATTGCACACGTTTTTTAATGCTACACGATATAGGCGTTTCTTTTTGTTTAGTTGTGTTTTGGAATAAATGTTTGTCAATCAATTATTTGTGTTTATTCGAATCCATTGTGCTACCCGGATAGAGTGTTTCATGTCATTTTCTATTCGTTTTTCTTTGTCAGTTGGGTAGTTACCTAATTTTACAGGCGGTTTCCAATCCTGCCTTTAAATTTATTTGACAATTAGCGACTATTTTAGCCGCATTATTTAAACCATAAATGTCTCGTGAGCCAATCATTTTTTTATACCATGTCTTAGTAAGAGCTTTATTTCATTTCCAACAGTTGCTTACGTTAATTAACGAGTTAATCAGGAACGACCACCGCAAATTATATGAATGTTTGTAATACATATTTTCATTCAATCGGCATACGTCGTGGTTCTCCTCGCTTAGAAAACGCTGCTTCGCAAACGAGAACGTCTGACGACAGTCTTCCGGACATGGCATCGAAAGATGTCAAGAAAATTCCCGTTTTAGTTGAGGAGAAAGCGAATTATTATTTGCAAAAGGGACATCTTGTTTAATAAAAATGCGCTATTGTGGCCACTTTGTCCGTCCGTTCGTCCGTCCGTCCGTCCGCTCGTTTTGCGACGCTACTAGGTCTTTATCTTAAGAGCTATTGTTCTACTTTTTTCGCTATTTGGTTCGTTATGGTATCGAGTCTTGCACCAAGGAAGGAATTCTTTCTGTACCGCTTACAAGAAAAGTTATTGTAAAAAAAAACAAAACGTTTTTTACATTTTCCATAATTTTACACTTTTGCCGTTTATTAACGATCCTAGAGATCGTTTATAATTTTGTATTACTCTCTGTCGTCTGTCTGTTGGTCTGTCCGTCTGTTCCTTTGTCTGTCTGTCCCTCTATCTGTCCGTGTGAACGATAACTTTGTTTAGAAATGTCGAAATCGAATCGATTCAAAATTCACAGTGCCCTTTTCACATCTCGACCATTTATAAACCGAATTGCAAACTTTTTTACTTTACTTTAAGTATTTGAATGAAATTTGATACATAGGCACATAGAATAAAGAAAAATTAAACGCCAGTTTTAAAATTTGGTTTTGTGCATGCGCAGTGTCAACTTTTTTATTTATGGAAGCATTTAAGGGAAATTTCATACTTAGGCGCTTGGAACAAAAGAAAATCTAACATTAGTTTCAAAATTTAGGTTTGCGCATGCGCAGTTCCAACTTTCTTATTTAGAAAAGCATTGAAATGAAATTCTTCTCATAAACTGAAATTGAAGTAGCACGTCAAAAATGGATTGCCCATGTGCAACGGCAATCTTTCATACCTATTTGTGGCCGGATTTTTACGATTTTAACAGAAGTAGCATCTTACAAATGGGAAATGAATGCAAGTGGAAATGCGCTTTATGTAAATCGTTTACGATTATTTTTTAACTTGTTGTCCTTCGCGGAAGCAGGTTTGATCAGTCTTAATTTTTACTTTGTGTTAAATTTTTGTGATTTGTCTACAGGTATTTATCATCTTTTTATATTGCTTTTGTTCCATAACCCCACATTTTATGTATTTAGTCAGTCTCACATTGAACTAATTGTTTATTTACACGAATTTATTTGTAACCGTAAAATTACTGAATTGAGTCATATCGTACCTAAATGTGTGGTTTTCTTTTAATGAACTTATAATGTAACCATGTGCAATTTCATGCAAATACGCTTCTATTCTTTTGTTTGGAGCTTTTCACCTTAATTTATTTTATGTGTTCCCTTATTCATATTTTTTTATGCTTTTGTGTTTTGCTTAATTGCTTGGTGTAATTTTTAATTTATTGATGTTGATTACTTGCTTTTAAACAGCCGTTACTGTTAGCGATCCGAAAAAAAACTTCTTTACCACAATGAGCTTTTAATGTGAGTTTATTTAATCCCCTTTCAGTTTGAAGAGCGCTTCTGCAGCTCAAAAATGTCCCTTCGCGTAAATTTTACCACTCGTAAATGACGAATTAGACTAAAACTCCCTTCCCAAGGCAAAACAAAACTTGCAGGTAACTCACATTTTGTCACCAATCTACTTTCAAAATGCACACATTGTTTTCGTTTTTTTTATTTCCACACATACTTTTGTTCACGTTCGCTATAAAGCGGTATAAGTACGTGTAAATGTTCCATGTAGAATAAAAGATAAATTCAAGAAAATACTTTCGAAATTCTAAAGCGACCACCCGTGACAGAAATATATTACTTAAGTTTACGCATTCAGTGCGCAACACAGTAGTGATTTTGACTGCCTGTGACGTCATTTGACCTATAGTCCAGTGACTCTGAAAAAATTTATTTAAAAAAAAAATTAGTTACCGGGCGAAACCGGGTTTTTCAGGCAGGTGAAATGAATAGAAATTGGGAAAAAATAATTAAAACAGCTGAATTTTTCCGCGGGTGGAATCACGGGGTTGAAAGGGGTGGAAAGTGGTGTTTTGCAAATTGTGGCAAAACTATTAATTTTAGACGAAAATGTTAAATGTAAAAGTATAGATATTAAAAAAATGAGAATCTTTTGTACCTGCACTATTTTCACATAACCTCCAATGTTTCTAGAAAAACCGGAAAAACTGTTTTTTTCGTTTTTTATACTTATTTTTGCGAAAAAAATTCGTAGGGGTTTGAAATTTGGGAGAAACAGCTTGTTTTATGATAAAAAAGGAGAACTGGTCAATTAAAATTAGATTTTGTACTAACACTTGAACCCTACAGTTAAACCCTAAAAGAAAATCAAAGGTAACACCTCTTCCTGGATGTACTAAATAAGAAGGCTAATTTAATTGTAGATGAATGCAACAATCGTCAGTGGAAATTGTAATGTGACAAATATCAGCTCAAACCTAAATTAAATGAAATACGTACGTACTTACGATAAAGAAGAAAATCGCAATTATATCCTCCCTATTGAAGTTTTTAGACGAATCCGTTTCCTAATTATTTCAGAATCCCCAATTCAATGAAACCAATTGCCAGATATTAATAAAATATACGCCTTAGCCATTGATTAATGAAGTGTTACTCAATACGAGGATATTTTAACAAAATATACCGTGAACAATAATAATGCTTCTAGTGGAGAAAATAAACCGTTACACAACTTGGGAAATTGTGGTAACCATCAAAATGATTAAATTTAAAGCTACCGTTACAACTATATATACGTATCCAGCTATAAAAGCGAGGCCCGATATATCTATCAGGCCCCCCGAGGCCCGCCATAAGGACCAATGATAAAATTATACATTTTAACTTTTTGGATTGTCCTAATAGTCTTTAACAATAACCGCCCTTGAGGGGTAATTTTTTTCAAAAATTCAGATATACAAGTGTGCAATAATATACATGCGAGTCCCTGTAGTACATTAACCGAACCTGCGAGGCCCAGTGTATATAAATGACATTACCTGTGTACATGCGAGGCCCAACCACGTTGCCAAGTTTAATGTTGACGTGGTCAGTTACATTATCAGTAAAAATAACACAATCGGCATTTTTAAGGTCGTTCACAACTGATCCTGCAATTATTTATTTTTTCATCTCGCGGCCTGCATTTTCTGTATTCATTATAGGATACTGAAATAATACGCTATATAAATTATTCGAATCAAATGGATCACTTTTGGCAACGTTTGGGCTTAAAATGTTTTATACCAAACCACTTTTGTTCTCCTTGCACATGAAAACTCCATGTAGGTTCTTAAAGCAATTTTATGGAGGTAATGCTTTGTACGCGTCCACATACGCAATTTAATAGGTTGCTCACAATTATTTAATAAATTTTGTCGGGAAAAAACAAAACTCTTATTTCATTAGAAGAAACTAAACTTTATGTCATCTCCTTTTGATTAAGGTCGAGATTAAGTGGATGGAGCAAAATCTTATTGACTCAAAATTGTCGTCGGAAAAAGAACAAAACAATTTCATTGCACGAGGAGGATCTAAATTTTATCTCAACTCTTTTTTATGAAGCTCTAGATCACGTTGTTACAGCAAAACCTTCATTTATTCACAAATGTTGTCGGAAATATGACAAAACAATTTGATTTCGTGGGGGGAAGGTATACATTTTATGTCATCTCTCTTTGATTAACGTCGAGGATAAGTTGGGAGAACAAAATCTCCATTCGTCTGAAAACGAATTATGTTATTGAAAAGTGTTTTATAAATAGTTAATTTTAATCGACTCAGGTTCTACAAAACCCTTTATTAATCCTGATATCGCTTTCAAATTGTTCCCAAATCAAATTCGAAACCACCGTTTTCGGTATCTGCTACTTTTCAAAATCAGCTCACAAATTTAGCGCCAATTTTCTAAAAATATTTAATTTACCAAATCCCATTAATTAGAAATTCTATTTGATTAAAATCACAGCATATTGAATTAGTATACGTAAAATTGCTTCCTACTGCGGTTTCTCATTCTTATAAGGGAATAGCGCTGTTGCCATATATAAGGGCCTCGGAACCACCAAGAAATGTGTAAATGTAATGTATGTACACGGGTCTCGCATTTCTTATACAGAATTACATACAGAACTACTGCAGCGACCCCTACTTCATACTTCAATGAACTAAAATCGGTATAAGTGGTGATATAAACGACACTTGCGAGTCCCGTGACATTCTTCGTATAAGGGTTCAGGAGGGCAAGGGGAAGCAAAAGAAACTTATATACACGCACGAAAACGGGCCTCGCATGTGAAAACCGGGCCTCGTTTAGTACCATACACATATATATCGGGCCTCGGAAGTGCAAATTACATATCTATTAGTAGAAGTAATTGAAATTCTATTCTTACCTCAGGAACAGAACATATCCATTATCTTGTTCCTGTTCAAAATATTGAATTAAAAATGCAACGAATTCCTTCGCAACTAAATGATAATGAATGTAGATTCGCCAAATCTTGATTTAACTTGGCATGCCATTTTCTTCTGTTGATGACGTGCAATGCTTTTTATAGCGAAAATCGTATATGTACCAATTTCTTCGATGCAATAGTCAAAACGTCAAAAATTGATAGTTGTTTGTTACTTTGTTGCGCAAAACGAGCCCTTCCTTTTATATCCAAGAGTATGTGTACCAAATTTGGTTACAATCGGTTCAAGCGTTTAGTCGGAAATGAGTACAGACCGACAGACAGGCATCATTGGGATCTAGTTTGATTCGGATTCCTCTTTCAGACCTTAAATGCCCCCTTCTCACACGTTCGTCAATGAAGTATTTATTCTAAATTGTATCCGTCGCCCCATTGTCTGGGTTTGGTGTTGAATTACACGCTGGAAATAGGTCGTATTAAGTTATTTATGCAACGTTGCAACGTGAGCGCAATTTGGAAAAAATTCGGTAAATCCGGTAAACCAAAGCAAATAAATAACGTACCTCCGAATTAGAAAAAGTTTTAAGTTCATTCAAGGGGACCTTGTGGTCCATTTTTAGACAGTTGGTTTTTTTAAAATCATATTTATTTGCCCAAGTGGAAAAAATTGCGTGCAAAATGATACCGACAAAAGAATTACCATCAGGGGCAAACCTGTGAGTGGGTTGTGACTTCGAGGACCATCTACCTTTCGTGTTCATCTGAAGGTACTAGCTCCGTGTTTGTCGGGTTATTGGGCAAGGAGTGTTCTCTACAGCATTCTTCGGTTACTGTAAGAGCTGCATAATCCTAATATCTTTCTTCCATTGCCTTCGGTGCGTGCCCGTTCTCCTCGCACATATAACCCCTCTTCGGGTTGATGCACTTTTCTTTACTGTGGTCCTTTTGATCACAATTAAAACAGCGTTTTCCGTCATGTTATGCTGGGTCCCAGGACATCAGACCAACAAGGGAAACAAAATTGCAATAGGAAATTTTGGTTTGGTGGCTCTTCCGAAAGTAATGGTAGCAGAGGGGCAATTAAAACTAAATCAAAAATGAATTTCACATGACGTTCAGCGATTGAGCCATTTCCAAAAATGCTGTTCCTACTCGCACTACTCCTCGACGTAAACGCGTTTGTAAGGGTAACTACTTCCAAAACCACCACTAACTGTAATGTCTGGGTGGAATCACCTTTGACATGAGCCATTCAATACTATTTGCACTTCCTATGTTTGTATTTCACTTTACGTCAATGGAGAACTTTCCAGTTTTTTTGCTGTAAACTAATTATGAAAATTTAAGAAAAATGAAACAAAAATGTAAAAGAATCATAAAAATACCGCCACAAATCGTAAAGTTATAAGACTTTAAAGTTGCACTTGGAAAAATAATTACGGTTCGCGTATGGCGTCCCGTGACCTATTCGCATACGATACCTATTCGTTCGCTTAATATGTGTACACATTGGTTATTGGTGCGCCGCATCGTTACCACTGTTAGCGCGGCATTCGATTAGGTCAAATGACGTCACAGGCAGTACAAATCACTACTGTGTTGCGCACTGAATACGTAAACTTAAGTAATATATTTCTGTCACGGGTGGTCGCTTTAGAATTTCAAAAGTATTTCTTGAATTTATATTTTATTCTACACAGGAAAATTTACACATACTTATACCGCTTTATAGCGAACGTGAACAAAAGTATGTCTGGAAATAAAAAAGCGATAACATTTACGAGTGGTAAAATTTACGCAAAGGGACATTTTTGAGCTGCAGAAGCGCTCTTCAAATTGAAAGGGGATTAAATAAACTCACATTAAAGCTCATTGTGGTAAAGAAGTTTTTTTTTCGGATCGCTAACAGTAACGGCTGTTTAAAAGCAAGTTCATTAAGGTTGAGTTACATGTTTCTACTTGTATCTATAAAGTGTCCGCAATCGTTGCAATGCCTGTTATGTGTTCGCATTACTTGGATTCCATTCTAAGCTTGTATTTCACGGCTCCATACCAGTTGATAGATAGGATATGTTTCCCGGAAGCCGTAACTAGTCGCGCCGCTATTTTCCACCTTCCTTCTGGAATTCCCGGAGGAAACTTAGTACTGTCAGGTACCCAATCCCTTATTGTATATGTCACCTACATCAACTGTTACAAGAATAATGTAATGGCGTATCCAATTAGTTACCCCTTTAATGAGAGGCAATTCGGCAGGAGGTGTCGTACAGGAGTGCATCAGCCGATCTAAATCAAAGTAGCGGAAGCGAAAAGCATTTTTGACTGTTAGATTGAATTGCAAAATGTCCAGGCGATATCGGTTACTCAGCCATTTGTATCCCATTATCAAAAACTAAAAATTATTCGCTACAGCACGAAGGGTGGGCCAGATCTTACGGTATCTCTTTCAGTTAAATCATTCTTAAACGTTACAGCCAAGATAAACGCACGCGTTGTTCGGTTATATTTGTAGTTGATGCAGGAAAGGTTCGAGAGAGTAGGATCGTAATATTCGGCTTCCATACGTTCATGAATAACATCGTACCTATTTTGCTTAAAGAAGTCTAATTAGTGGCGGTTTTGGAGGTAGTTACCCTTACAAACGCGTTCACGTGGACGAATAGTGCGAGGAGCAACAGCATCTTTGGAATGACTCGACCGCTGAACGTCACGTAAAATGTATGGTAATCCATTTTTGATTCGAATTTAATTGCACTGACGCTGCAATCAGATTAATAATTTTCAAATGCAATTGTTTATCATGCCCCTGACTTAAATTCGCTTTTATCTCAAGTTCATCTGCCACATATACGAAAACGGTCGGCATTATTTCCTGCTTCATGCTAATGTACAGGAATATTGATTATGTTGTATAGGTCCATCACGGGCGATGTGCAATAAATTTAGATTCGAATTAATAAAACCCTTGCGCACTGTTAAGTAAGTACCGTATCGACAATATCCGCGACTTTTCCTGAATCTACCGATTGCAGTCGAGTACGGGACAACCGTCACTTGATGCGACACCCATTGTCTTCTTTTCTGTTCGACTAACCACTAACCAGTAACTTCATACCCCATACAAAACATAAGCATTGCTTAAAACTATAAAATGCGAACATCAAATCCCACGGTCTCTCTCCTCACCCCTCTAGCACACTCGATAGTCGGGGGGACTTTATTATATGTTGATCAGGGGACCACTTGCTACACATTTCCGAAGGAATTGGTAATATATGATTTAGTTCCCCTATTTGCCATTTTTGGGTCCATTCTTACTGGACTAATCATTTTGATGGTTACCACAATTCCCCAAGTTGTGTAACGGTTTATACGAGTATACTCCACTAGAAGCAATATTATTGTTCACGGTATATTTTGTTAAAAGATCCTCGTATTGGGTGACACTTCATTAACCAATAGCTAAGGCGTTAGTTGAGAACGCATGGAATTTTAATTGCGATCATCCATATTTTATTAATATTTGGCAATTGGTTTCATTGAATTGGGGATTCTGGAATAATTAGAAAACGGATTCGTCTAAAGACTTCAATAGAAAAGGATATAATTGCGATTTTCTTCTTTATCGTAAGTACGTCCATTGCATTTCATTTAATTGAAGTGTACCTTTTCTTTCGATTTCGGCTGATATTTGTCACATTACAATTTCCATCGACGATTGTTGCATTCATCTATATTAAATTAGCCCTCTTATTTAGTTTATCCAGAAAGAGGGGTTACCTTTGATTTTCTTTTAGAGTTTTAATTGTCGGGTTGAAGTGTTAGTTCACAATTTAATTTTAATTGACCAGTTTAAGTGTGGAGACGCTTTACCTATATTCTGTCGACGTACGAGTTTGGAGTTCTGCGGCTTGGGAGGTTTTCTTTTGTTTGCAGGTTTTGTGATCCGAGAACTGAGCTCACTTCTTTATATTCCTTATACGAATTGCTGCAGGAAATCAGTGAAAGAAAATGAACCACGCCGTAACCTATTGGATACTTCACATTGTCCGAAAACGAATCCATTTATAAAACGATAGTTTATGTTAACAAAATTGAATGTTAGATACGTACAAGATTTGGCTATACCCTTTTGTAAAATAACGTAAAATCAGTTCATCGGTCAAGATTGCAAGCAAGTATTAACTTGATATTTATTGATATCTCCCTTTATGGCTTCTTCACACCAATTTGACGGTTCCTATACACATTCTCTCGAATTCTTTACGCTTTCAGATTCTAATTGGGAATCTCGGCTTTACTAAATGTCGGATTCCGTGTCCTGAAGCTGGCGTCCTAGGTTCTTCACATCATAACTCCCTGGTTTTAGAACAGTGTGAAAGACTCGAGCTCTTTTGTGTTTGGTTAAGGTAAAAATAAATAAATAAATATATATATATAGAATTATCCTATATCTGTGTTTCACTTTACGTCAATTAGAGTGTAATTCCGCACATATTTTTAAATAACCTTATTAGACTTAGGGACTTAGAGCATTAGTTCCGTGTCTCCATTTGTGCACGTTACAAATTGTAGGTGCTATATAAATCTCCAAATGATGAATTTAAATTCCTAGTTCAGACGTAAAGAGTGGTACTTTGGTCTCACTAAACTTGCACTAACTGTGGGAACAATACAACATTTTTTTTAGAATTGCAATTTGCATTATACATGACTTTTATCTTTGACATTATGCTAATCGGGAATATGATACATGGGAGTGGGAGTGGACCCGTTGTGCCTACTTATTTGCGTTAACTCAAGTCAGATACCTTGTACTAAAAAAAACTTGTTCGGTACTCTTAAAATAGCGGAGATGATCTTCAAAACATTGCTGATGGCGACTTGTGCTTTATCAACGATACTCGCTTTTGACTCCAAGGTGGGAGTCCGTTCCTATGTTGAGCCGAACTGATTTTTTTTCTTAATTTCAGAAAAGCACCGAGGATATATTTGCCGAATGGTGGAGGCGTTCCGATGAGGATCACCCGGAGTGTTTCGAATCGTCGGGTGTACTTCAAGAGGAAGTCGAAAATTACTTCGTACACTTTCAGATGAGTTCAAGGCGAAACTTTAAATGCTATCTTGAGTGCATCTTCAAGGGTTTCAAGTTTGTTAATAAGGACGGCACACTTAATCAAACTGAGTTCGTTCAATATGCCGCCAAGGTATCGAACGAGATGTTCGACGCCTGTAATTCGAAAGTCGCTAAAGAAACCGACGGGTGCGAGATGGTATATCAGTTTGCATATTGCATTGTACATTATGCCCACATACAGGGTGATTCCTATAGTACCTGCCACCGTTTTGGAGCGTATAGGGGGTGCCTAGGGAAGTATTTTGATATAGGACACTTGGGGTCGGAAATCTAAAATAAGGGCGCCAGAACCAAATTTATCTTCTGGAATTTCACGCCTGTATGTAGGCAACCCAACCGACCGACGTTTCGCGCGGAGCGAGTTAGCGCGAGGAAGCGACATGGGAGGGAAGGAGGGAAAACGACAGTCAAAAGCAATAACGTTTACAAGTGTTCAACGTGGCCACCGTTGTTCTCAATGCACTTCCTACATCTAGCCAACTATTATTATACTATTGCCATAGTGGTTATTCACTTGATACGCGTCGTTGCAGACGGGATTTCGTGGGTTTAAACAAAATTCTGATCAAGTGTCAGCCACACATCGCCGCCTGAGATCGCTCCGTGTGCACCGCCGGCCGGTTGGGTTGCCTACCTACAGGCGCGAAATTCCAGAAGGTAAATTTGGCTCTGGCACCCTTATTTTAGATTTCCGACCCCAAATGTCCTATATCAAAATACTCCCCTACGCACCACCTACACGCTCCCAAACGGTGGCAGGTACTATAGGAATCACCCTGTATACCTTCGATAAGGCTGTTGAACTGAAATAGTAAGTTTTGGCGACGTAGAGGTTTTCGTAGGTTGTAGTGTTTCTCTGAGGTCCGTGAAGTTGGAGTATCGACATCGACATATTCAATTTAAGTTTTGTGCTAATTTTGTGCTATTTATTGCCGTATACCCCAAATTTTGTGCTCTTATGGTTTTTGAGTTATTCAAATTTTTAGGATGGGACTCTAACTTCACGACTATACTCGATGTTGTTAAATTTGAAATTTTAATATACCTAAATTTTGTGCTCATTTTGTGCTATTTTTTGCCGTATAGTAGAAATGTTGTGCTCAGATGGTTTGTTAGTTACCAAATTTTTAGGATGGGACTCCAACTTCACGATTATACTCGATGTTGTTAAATTAAAAGCTTTATTATTTCTAAATTTTTTGCTCATTTTGTGCTATTTTTTTTACCGTTTAGTAGAAATTATGTGCGCGTATGGTTTTTGAAATGTTTAAATTTTTAAGAGGTATAATACTCCTACTTGGTACTTGATATCGTAAAATTGCTAAGTATCTCGCTAAGTATATTTGGAAATATACTAGAAATGTTGTGCTCGATGCTTCTTAATTGAGATACATACATAAGTAATCGAATCATTTATGTCTTTTTAGCGCATTTCCACAAAAATAAAAAAAAAATGCGCTATTGTGGCCACTTTGTCCGTCCGTCCGTCCGTCCGTCCGTCCG